ATCTCGTATTCACAAAGGCTCACAAAGCTACAGTCAAGTTTCAATTCTTGTTATAATCTGTTGTTCTCTGTCCCTTGCTGAGTAAGAACCTTTGGCCTTACCTTTGGTGCAGGGAAGTAAATCGCTTTGAATCAGAATGAACGGAATTTTGTAGCACATAGTGCCTGACTCTTCTGAAGATAAGAGTAACTGGGCTTTTGGATGAAATAATGTGCAGTACTAGAAGCTTATCTAGATGTAAGAAATATTAATCAGTTTACAATCTTGCAGGTACATACAGACTTGAATGTAACTACAGCTACTGGTCTGGGAGCTGTTTCGTGTTTTATAACACGGACCTTTCTCTGTAGGTAAAGAATGAGGGAGTGTTTGCTTGCTGCTTGCTTTAGCAATAGTGACTTTTCTCTTTTTTCTATCAAGTTCTGTTGGGTAGCTTGAGCTAAAATAAATTTTTCCCCCTTAGAATGAGCTGACTGTACTACGTGGAAAGGCAATAGCTAAACCAAGTTAATGGAAATGTCTTTGACTAGAAGATATTCATGACAGTTCTTACTTGCTTCCTCTGAAGCGTTTAGAGAATGTCTATAATGTCTTAATAAAGCTGTATACTACCCAGTAAATGTTTTTATATAAAAGCTTACAATGTGATGTGTATTATTATATTCCTGTTATCTCTGTGAAGGATACAAAAGCAGAAGAAAATTATGTTTTTCCAACTTCTTTATAAAAGGCTTAGTTAACATGTAACCTTCTTTCACAGTAAAATTAACAGTAATAGGTTGTTATGTAGGAAATAAGTTGTAACTCTCCTGTTCTTAAAAGGACTCTGGGATTTTTACATAACTGCTTGTAAGTATAGACCTCTAATGTCTTTTGTCCATGCACACCACAAGCAGAACACAGCGCTGGTTTACTACTCATCTTTAGTCTTCCCAGTACCAAGCTCCTTGAATCTAACTCTGCAATTAAGATGAAGCGTGAGTTTCTAAATTCTTGAACATCACTTTAAGGCACGTAACTTGAGCTCTGCAATGGCATATAAATCTGCCACAGGAGTAGAACTTATTTCCAGTCTTGTACTCTGACATGACCGCAATGTGCAAGATAATAGGCAGTAACCCAAACATACTGTAATTTGTGGCATCACCCCCATTTTTCTAGTACTTAGGTACTTTTGAGTAACTTCTAGGAAAGGCTTTTAACATCTTTCCAGGCAAAGGTGCAAGTCCAGCAGTCACTCTGTTCTGGGTGCTCTTGCATTTGCAGAACTTGAGGATGCACTTGGCTTTTACTCTGATGGTGGTGATTCCAATCAAAGTATTCACCTACATTCTTTAAAACATTTATTTAAGAATCAAATCTAGATTAGTTTTTCTTCTTTTCTGCTTCCACCCTTGCTCCATGTAAGGAAACAGAGATCACAAGTTTCAAATAAGGGGGAAAAAAAGAAAGCTTCCTGAGGCATGGAAAGCAAAACTGGTGAAGAACATGAAGTTAAACGACTATGAAACATAGATTAAAATTCTGCTCTCGATAACCAAAAACCACAAGAATAAACCTCTCGCTCAGATTATACCTGAAGTTTACAGAACATTCGTGAACAGTTATTCTTAACTAACTCAGTAGGTTAAACCTGAATTAACATCCATTTTCCACTGAATTGATTAAGAGCATCACATCAATGTGGTATTACCAGCTTTTGATTACTGCAGGCAAATGGACATTTCAAGATGAATGATTTAATTTTTCAAGGTAATCAAAATGGCAGCACAGTACTGATACCTGCACCTTTTTGTATTTTGGAAGAGGTGTAGTGTTTGGCATGCTTTGAAAGCAGGCCAACACACCTTGGTGGTGGAACTCCCTTGGGGTACTGGTATGGTAGTAGTCATACTACAAACCTAGCTGCTAGTCTTTAATCCATCTTGTTCTTGTTACAAGTATTTTCTGAGTTGCAATTTGGAGATTACCCTTTTTTGTGACTAAGGGGCTACTACTACAAGCTGGGAGAGTGTTTCTGGGCCCTGATCCAAGGGGCAGGTTCACATGATGTGCACTGTAAAGAAGCACAAGGACTTTTCAAAGAGCTGAATTCATTCTTCTGAGTTATGACCAAGCTAGGAAGCCTCTAGAACTCCATTTGGTCCTTTGAAATTTGGTAACCATACAAGTAAATGCCCTACATCTCCTTTACAGTGACTGCTTGAACTTTGTATTTGCATCAGCCTAAGGCTATAGTGGAAGGTTATAGGTTAATAATCAAAATACAATTTCCCTATTACATCTTATTTAGAGGGCTGAGCAATTGCTGCATAGGAACAGGTCTGTGGTATGTTGTTTTTTTTTTCTTTAAGCAATAGTAATCTTTCTTCCACTGATTACTTCTAACTTCTTTGCAAACTTACTTTTCAGAAAAAACAGTTTCCTCTTTTACATGAACAAGAACCACACAATTGTCAGTATCTTATGTGTAACTGTGCAGTGCGAACACCTTAGTAAATTAAATGCGCTTAAGAGGACAGATCAGACTTTCCGTAAGAGTCACCTTTAGGTCCATTTAAGCCACTGTATATGCTAAAAGAGGTGTCACAAAATAAGCTGGACAAGACTTCATATCTGGTTTGGGTTATTAGTGTGTGTGGGTTGGTGTCATCCCCCCTTTTAGCTTCTTGAGGTCAATATTAAAGACAATGTGTCAACTAAAAAAAGGGTTCTAATACACCTCTGGTGATCACATTTTCTTCTTCTCCCCCCATACAGAATGCTATTCTGTTTATAGTAACACCTTTACCATAAGTACTCCAGTTGCAGCTGTTTATAACTGAGAACACTCAACCAGTGTTTGATTATTCATAGGAACCACACTGGCCCAGTTAAAGTATTGATATCTATGTTAAGCATTAAAGTCCATCAATAAACTACTGAAGCATTAGTAACTGTAGTAGTATATTACTTGCAACAAACATTGAAATCAAGGCATGTCAAGTTTTTCACAACACAAATTTGTAAAGGGATACCCTCTTGGTAGAGAAGGAGATCTCTATAGTAAGGGCAATTCCAAAGAAGTCACCAGTCACTGAAAGATGGTGCTGTGAGGAGCCTAAATTAATGCAATCTCAGGACTGAAACAACTAGACTAATGCTGTATATCGCTTCAGTTCAGCATGCTGGCCAAAAGATTACCACTAACCATAGAATAGGGTTAGGGTTGGAAGGGACCATAAAATCACCTAGTTGCAAAGCCCTGCCAAGGGCAGGGATGCCTCACACTAGACGATGTTGTTGCCCAAGGCTCTGTCCAACCTGGCCTTGAACACTGCCAGGGATGGAGCATTTACCACTTCTCTGGGCAACCTGTACCAGCACGTCACCACACTCACAGTAAAGAACTTCTTTCTGAACTTCCCCTGTTTTAGTTTAAACCCGTAACCCCTTGTCCTATAACTACAGTCCCTGATGAACAGTCCCTCTCCAGCATCCTTGTAGGCCCCTTCAGATACTGGAAGGCTGCTATGTGGTCTCCACGCAGCTTTTCTTCTCCAGGCTGAACAGCCCCCAGCTTTCTCAGCCTGTCTTCATATGGGAGGTGCTCCAGCCCCTGATATCCTCATGGCCCTCCTCTGGACTTGCTCCAACAGCTCCATGTCCTTCTTACGTTGGGGACACCAGAACTGTACACAATACTCCAAGTGAGGTCTCACAAGAGCAGAGCAGAGGGGCAGGATCACCTCCTTCGACCTGCTGGTCACACTTCTTTTGATGCAGCCCAATATATGTATTAGATATATTCCTGAAAAGAGGAATTTTAAAGTAAGGTAGTAAGTTCAAAGCACATACTATGTTTTCCAAGGAGGTAAATCCTGAAGATACTACCTAATTAAAACACCTGTCCTCTGCTTTAATCTTTACAGATTAAGATGCCTTCTTTGGGAAATAAATAAGGATAAAGGATCAGTATGTGACAATAATCTTGTGAAAAACAAATGAGAGATTCACTAGATGAGAATGCCACATCATAAGAAGTCAATACTGAAATACAGGTCAAACAGAATTTATTCTTGCTTGTTTTAGAGTCTATAACAAAGATGTTCAGCAACACTCAAATACCAGTGCCTACCCAAGTACATGGAAACACTTAGAGTTTGTCCCTCAAACCTCATTGCTAAAGTGTCAACAACTATCTGAGCAATAATAAACAAGTCACACTTCATATCTGTAAAGAAAAGTAGAGGCATCTTCCAAATTCCTTGCTTCAACAGGGAGACAACCCTCACTTAGAGAAGCAGCTTACCAACCAATGTTTGTGCAGAGTTCCTTAACATTGTAACTGTTTAGATAACTAACTGTACATGGTAATTGTTTAAGGTCATATTTTTGCTTTGTTATGTTATTTTTGCCAATTAAAAGCATATACAAAGGAACTGAACCGAACTTGAAAACTTTATGTCTTAAGTTCAAACAAAAGTGCAAACTACTGGAAAAGTAACAAATCCACCTACATTTAGTATGTTTCCAGGTCAACAAAGTTTTTTGTCAAGTACAATACTAATCTTCATCTCTTCACAAACTGCATTACTGTAACCACAAGTTGACACGTTAATTTTTGCAAAGATTTTTTAAAACTAGAAACATTCCTCTAGGAAGTCAGGCTGAATCAGGCTTTGAATGGGATGCAAAGCCTAAGAGAAAGTCACCATTGTGTTGTGATTTAATCATCTTCATTTAGAAGATGATTAAATACTAGGTTTTGTTATCTTCTGATCGAATTCAGATATCCTTGTGTTTTCTTCGTACAAAAGGGACATGGCTGCAGCCTTCCCATGCCCATTTAGTCATATCTCAGTTCAAGACTTTTACATGTGGCACACAGTTACCTAACTGCAACCTCATCTTACAGCAGTTTCAGCCTCTCTGTTTCTAAAATGTCTACCATCTACACAGTCTCTGTACACAAGATAGTTACAGCCACTGGAAAAGTAAGAGCTACAAGGCGAAAGAAATATATTATACACCAACTGCTTTTATTTGATTTCAGAAACCGTTCACAAGATGGTAGAAAAAAAATAAAACCAAACTTACAACCACTTCTAATTTACTCTTCCATTGTTCCCAGTCAGCTCTAAACCCATTATGTGCAAAGCCCATTTACCATGCATCTAAGATAATAGATACAGGCTATGAAATTCTTTAGTCTACTTGTAGCAGCTTATGCAGGTGCAGCCAAATACCAAGCCTCAGGACAAATTGTACACAAACTTTACAATGTAGAGTTTGAATTTAAAAATGAAACTTAAAATCTACACAAAACTGGTAAAAATCAAGCACAGATACGAGGGCAAACTTAAAACCCATGTGAAAAGGAGTCTTGTCTTCCTTTCAAGTGCTTTATTCTGCTACACACTCAAAATGAAGATGTAAGCTTGTGGTTAGTTTAAATTACACTCTGTAGATACTATAGACCAATTTAAAAGTTACACATACAGCAATAGATGTCCATTGGTTCATCTGGATTACTTATACAATCCAGCTGGATTGTTGAAAACAAGTCAGGCAAAATTTGAAATAAAATCCTTGTGCAATTTTTTAGACAAACGTTTACTGATGGGCACACTGTACCCCAGGTCCATGATGGCTGCTTTCTTCATCAGAACTATCATTATAAGCTTCACGTCTCTGGCCACCACCTGAACCACGAGTGGTATCAAATTCCTGAAGATCTACCTCTTCTGCATCACCAATTACATTGGGAAATTCTGGTCTAGCTGGCAGAAGATCTTCAAGTTCCTGCCCCAAAAGAAGAATTGTATTCAGTACTGCATCTACAACTGCTAAAATAAAGCAGCCAATTTCCCACAACTTCAAGACTTCCCCTCAGTGCAGGTTTAGTTTAGAAGTCTAACATAATAAGTCAACATAAAACCTGAGGGGCATACTTATTTAGAAGTTCCCAAAGTATTTGTATCGACTGGAAGACACCACTTAAGGAAAACCCACAGCTTCACTTATCATCAACAAGAGGTGCAATCAGTAAATACAGCTGCCCTCTGAAAACTTATCACACAGCAGCAGGAAGATTATTCCTCCCGCCCTCATCTGCCTAACATCTGCACAGCTCTTAAAACACAGGTTCCACAAACCAACGTTCCAATGGGTATGTTCAAGTTATGTGTTGCCCATAAAAAATGGTAAAATAATTATACTTGAGTGTAAATTTAAGCACTGAAAGCAAGCATGTGAGGTACCCCACACGTAGTTTGCACACACTGTCAAATAAGACCACCGCATCTGTGCCTGAAATACTACTTACTGAAAGCTTTTCTGGGCTAATCCAGTTATTTTCGGGAAACTGAACATCAAATTTTATGTAAAGATCTCCCTTCTCAAAAGGATTGCGATACTGTGGCATTCCTTCACCTCTGACTACACGAACACAACCTGCAATTCAAAGAGAAGTAAGCAAGAGAGTGCTCTTCAGCATAACTCTTTCTCTATACAATTTTCTTCATTTCTCTAACCTCGGTTCACTTAACAGGACAAAAAGAATGGGATTAAGTTTTAAAGAATCACAAAAGCATAGTCGAAGAAGTCCTTATCAGGTCAAGCTTACCTGGTTCAATTACTTTTCCAGGAGGATATTTAACCACAATTTGACGTCCATCAAGGTGCTTAAATGTGAACTGAAATCCACACAGTGCTTCAACTAGTCCAATCTTGTGTGTCATATGCAAGTCATTCCCATCCCGCTGGAACACCTAAACCACAAAAATCCAGGGATGCATTTTCTAGTACCATAGTCATATCCCCATGAGAGTCATTATTTAGAATTATTATTTATTCTTAAAATTCAGCAGCAGAGCAACAGCCTTAGTACAAAGTTAACTTGATTCTGTTAATTCAAATAGCAAAGCATACTTGGAAATTTTCTGCCTGATCAAAGTGTCATCCAAGACAAGCCACACTACATAGTGTGAGGTAAGGTTCAAATCAAACAAGGAGGTAGGTACAACACCAGCACTCTCTTAACCCCAAGATCTTCCATACAAGCAATCTATGGACAAAACTTGTAACAGTTTGACACCACTTGCCCTTTACTGGACTACAAAATCCACGTCTTTATTTCGCAGCATTTAACTAGTTACTCATATCTGCTTCAACTAGCTTCATCTATAGCAGGGCTTTGATCAATTAGTACACAGCTGTCATAAGTGGTCTCTAAGCCGTATCACTCAGCCTTAATCAGAGTAAATCTAAGCTTTATCCACTGGCAGAAACATGACTCCCACCCTCAAGGGAAATTAATAACACTGAAAGCTTTACTAAAAGTCAGCCTAACTTAACTCAATATGACAAGTTATGGTATTTTTCAGAACTGTTAATATTGTAAAACTAGATGTAGTTCAGTAGAAGACTAAAACAGAAGTGGCATCCACCATCTGGAATCTGATGCCATCATGCACCTTTGACTGTTCTGTATGCTTACAGATTATTTCTCCCTTATCATAGCCTAAATCAACTGCGATGCCATATTTCAGCCCATATTACAGGAGAGAGAAGAGAGGAATGTGTAAAGAGCTACACAAAACTGATAGACAAATTAGCAGTCCTTAAAGCTGCTTTGAAAAGCTTACAAAGTACCTAATTTCCAGATAACAAGCATTATATACTTAATACGTGACTGGAACTTAAATTTGTACCCAATGCTTTGTCACAACCAAATTCCCCAACACCACCATTCTGTTCAACATTTTTTCCAGAGTATAACAGTTTCTTATTTCATCATAGTTATACCTGGCCTTTCTAAACAAAAGCATCAGAAAAAAGGAGAAAAAAAAAAAAAAGCAGCAGTCACCTCAACTCTGCCCTAAGGGAGTCTTAACACAGGAAAAGGTAATTTGCAGTACTTAATTCAGAAGCACTGTGTATATACTGCAGAATATAGTACGCATAAGCCTTAACAAACTAGTATAAAATAATCACGTTTCTTTGTTCAGTTAGGCAAATCAGTAACATCACCGTTGTGTGATATATTTCCAGAACCATAGCAGCAGAGACATAAAGGACCATCTGGGGATTTTAAAAGGAGTTCCCTGCCATGTCACAAGACACTGAAAACAAAGCAACACTTCACATTTTATTAGTGTCACAAGCAAAGCACATTGAAGTTAACATCCTGAATGGCTCTTCCCAGTGTCCACTGTGTCAAAGTCAGCCTGAGCTGATCTGAGAAAGCTACCTTTTATCAGCATGAGGAAGCACCAGAATCTGCATGCCCTCTGGCTATAGACTTGCAAAGTTTTCTGGTTCACAGTGAAAACCATGTTACTAGCTATAAACCTATTAAAGCCTATTCACCATCTCTCCCAGAGCTGCAACTATACTAATTACTTTAAAGGAACATCCATCTACATTAATATTGAGGACGAGGATAAAAGGCATTTAAAATACAAACTCAGAAGCATTACCTCATTCTCTTTTTCTTGGAGTAAGAGGACAATATCCCCTGGTTCCACACCTGGAGCCTGATCTGCTTCTCCACTGAATGTAATTCTTTGCCCATGCTTCATGCCTTTGTCTACATGGACTTCAAGTATTTTTACCTCTTTGATCACCTTCTTCCCTTCACATTTTTTACAGCGGTCTTTTTCATTAATTACTTCACCTAAAGAAAGACGAATTTTGAGTTTAGAGATTTCCACATAATTGCATCTGATTCTGAAAAGAAACTTTTAGAGTAGGCCAAGGAATTCATGCAACACAATTAGCGATTCAAATGTTTTATGAATTCCTCACAAGAGAAAAGCCAAACTCAATTTACCCTGTCTGGGAGAGGGGGAAGGAAAAAAAAAATGGGGTAGGGGGGAGGAAATACAAAGATACACTAAGTTTGAAAAGTGAGAGTGCTTTCGAGAAAAACAAAACAAGACTTTGTCTACTGCTTCTAGTATTCCTTAAGTCTTAATTTGACTCCAGTGTCCCTTACCACTCAACTTACTGATCTTAAAAAACAAATGCCTACTTTTCTGTTCATTGTTATGCTACAGGATGACAGCTATAGAAGAAAGGATGAAGCCAAAACCGAACTGAAGCACCTCCCTTCCCTTAAAAGTCACAATAAATGCCAAATTCTTTCAATTAATTTAGAAAGCTTAGTTCCACTCCTGTTAACAGTCAAAAAAGGATTATCAGGTTCTGTTCACCAACAGCCCCATTTTCCAGGATACCACCACCATGTACTACGGAGATGCAATCAACGAAGTAGAGAGTCTTGCATACAAAATGGGGGCAAGATACGTGGTCAAATCACAGTCTCATGCAAAAGCATTCCTATGGAAGGGATCTAACATTTTCTGACACATTGTAAAGTTGACTTTTATACTCTTAAACTGAATAGGTTTTCACACTGTCACCTCTAGGTGACAAAGGCAATTACTTTTTCCAAACTGAAGAATGACTACCAAAACGGCTTAAATTCTCTGTTCTACCTCATCTTTATTTTTCAAGTAAGCTATTGGCTTTGTACAGAGTACCCAAAATATTAGGCCACATGCACCCTACAGTTACAGTACACATCCAACACTGCTTTAAGTGCCAGAAGCAGATGCACTTGGCTTAAAACATTAAACCTGCCAGCTTAAATCACCTTCCTGTGAAACAAAGCAATACATTATGATGCAGCTGAAACTACTAAATATGCAGGTTAGTTATGGAAACCGTGAAAACAAGACAGTCAAAACCAGTATAATTTATGAGATGTTTTGACTACTCATAAAACACAACTCTAACATCTGAGTATTGTGAAAAGTAGAATCACCCACAATGTGGCAAATTGCAGATCTAAAAAGGAATTGCACAGAGTGCAGATCACGTGCTGAAGTAGTTCCCCAAACACAACCAATTCAGAAAAAACTATCTTCTTAATTTGAAGAAATTAAAATCCAACTTCAGGTTTCCATTTTCAAACTTAAACTTGTCCTTGGATGTTAGGAGACGGACAGTAAGTAATATTAACATCTAAGTGTTTTTAACCCTTACTGTTCAAGCTTCCAGGCTGCTTTTCAGTGTGTTAAAAACTGTAATTCTTGCTGTTGTTCCAAGTAAAATGATTTCTCTATGTTGACATCACACTGAGACCCAACTGATTAGATGGGAACAACAAGGTCCTGGATATATTCCTCCTGAGATTTAACCAGGAGGATGAATCCAAGTAAATGTATTTAGTAACACAGAATAGGTTGGCCTACCTTCTCCATTGCAGTGAGAACATACAGACTGCATCGGCTGAACCATTCCGGGAGCCAGCTGTCTGATCATGATACGTACACCTCTACCCCGGCAAGCATTACATTTCTGAACGGCTCCAGCCTTCCCTCCCTGCCTAGAATAGAAAGCACCAGTTGCATGAAAAGTATCTTCCCCCCCAGCCCAAAACATAGGACCAAAACCCCCTACATCAGTAGGTTAAACATGCCTAATAGCACTGCCAATTATAATTAGATTCTTTCCTCCCTGCTTCCCCCAAGAAGAAGCTCTTGAGTAATTCCAGTTCCATCAACAGTATCACTCAAGCTCAACAATTTTCTTGTTTGAGAGCAAGCTCCAGTGAGGCAAATACCAACAGAGGTCTGACATAGGAGACGCTTCATTACACTATATGAAAACAAAGCAATCAGAGAACTCAAAACAAACTTACCCATTACATGCACTACAAAGGACATTCTTGCTAAGTTGTAGTTTAGTTGTCTTGCCATTATACAGATCTTCTAAAGAGACTCTACAAAATAAAGCATTTCTCCTAGGTTATCATTTAACAATTTACTTTCCCCGTGTAGTAAGAATAGTTGCCTAAGAATAGTTGACAAATTTAAAGAAAAACAGATCTTCCTCATAAAAAAGACTGTATCTGCTATTAAAATAGGATTTTAAAGCACCATTTTAGCTTTCACAAGGAGTCATTATAAACTATTCCATACATATGAATATACACATGTAATTCTGAACATAGTTTCAGAAGAAACCAGATAGGATTGCTTGCGCTTCTCAATAGGATACCAGCTGATCTAGTATTTTGGGGTTTATTAGTCACAGTCGATCTTTTTTAATTTTTTCTACCAGGCAGGTTAAAAAACCACCCCTCTTAGACAGCCCTGACATTTATAGCATGCATACATAAGAATACATACAGACTACTTACTATTGTATTGGGCTTTCCACAAGAGAGTTTAGAGGGGAGGGCTAAGCATGTCCCCAGGGGCCTCAATTCTTTAGATCTGTTCATGTTTCAACTTTTTTTTAAGCTTTAGAATACACTATCAAACTCCAGTAACATTCATATATTGATAGAAGTTTATGAACCCATCCAGTATTTTTCTTAAATGGGTTTGTTAGTGGATTGAAATTTCAACTCCATGCATTGAGAAAAGGTTGCCTGGCATCCGTGTTTACAAACAACAATAAAACCAAAGCTAATTAATGACAGAGCATACAGTACTAGCTACTGAACTAAGCAAGCATGTGAAAGTTAACAGACTTTACCAAGCATGGTTTGCCAACCACAGAAAAGATAAAGCCTTACTCAGAAAGAACTTATAACCTGAGCAGCCAGCTAAAAAGCCAATCATGACTGAAAGCAGAGATCTACAAAACCCAATTAGATGTGATATTCAAACATGGCTCTAAAAAAACACCAACAACAAAAAACTCAAACCAAACCTGCCACACATGCTTTTCTATTAATTATGCAGTTACACTTCAGTTCCAGTTGGTACTATGCTATAAATGCAAGTCAACTTAACTCTTTCCAGAGCCTTAGTACCTCTGCTTTCCTAAGAATCCAGCTAATGAGTAATAGTTGATTGCTGAATACTTTTTTCAGATTACAATTTCTGAACATAATTAAGGAGAAAACCCAAGAAAATAATGCTAACAAAGTATATACAGACTAATAACCAAACAAAGTGTTAGGTATTCTGTAAGGTTAAGTAACTTAAGTTACTCAAGTTGACTGCCTTCTGGGCTACACACAACATGCAGGTCTGAAAAGTAGGTGTAGACCACAGATTATCTGAACTGAGAAGCGTATAAAGAATGTAACTAGGAGAGTCAAGTACTGATCAGGAAAGCTTGAAATTGCAAATTGCAGTATCAAGATACTCACTTGAGTGGATGCATCATATCTTCTCCTCTTCTTCTACCATTACGACTTCTACTCTGACCACCCATGAAATTGAACAATCCACCACCAAAGATATGGGAGAAAATATCGTCCATTCCACTGCTTCCACCACTACCTTCTCGAAGGCCCTGTTCTCCATATCTATCATATAACTCACGTTTCTCTGGATTTGACAATACTTCATAGGCAAAACTTATTTCTTTGAACTAGAAGAGAAACAGAGTCAAAACAGTGCATGATAATTCAGAACTTCAAGGGAGCATTTTACTGTTTCTTGACCAGCATGAACACCCATTTAGAAAGGTACAACAGAGCAGTTTTCTACCTTCATTCTAAAATGCAAAATTTAAAAGTCAAACTTGGGCTTATTGTGTTATCTCTTATTATAAATCACAACATTTTACGGCAAAACTTTGTTGACTTTGTCTTTACTGTGCCTAGCAAAGACAGTTTTCTTACAAACAACAAAAAAATCCAACCAGAAAAGAAAACCCACAAGTACACAATTTGGCAGCCAACAGGAAAAAAAACCAAACCAAACAGTTACACACTAATGGCAAAGACTTCAAAATGTTAGGCAATTAAACCACACTAACAGTTGTGCAACCTACTAAAATGCATGTTTGTCCTCAGACCAGATGAGTACCTTTTCACAGTCATCTCTGCTCGCCTCTAAGCAACCATTAGACATCAGTTCTGTTAGAGAATCAGCTGAGTCAACTTAATAGGGTTTTTTTAATTACTATTAGCATTACAAATCTAACTCAACCTCCCCACATATTTAATTTGTTTTATGGTGCAGCAGTTTCAAGAACCTCAACACATACAATCTTCCTTGTTGGAAAAACTTGGAAAACTGACTATCTTTTCCAAATACCTATGTAGATGCCAATGCCAACTGACATCATCTCAGCAGATGAAGACAGACAATTTCCCCTCAGCAACCAATTTGACTCAGCCAACTGCTGAATTTTTTCACAAGGTAGGCTGGTAGATTTTGACATTGGGAAGAAGTAAACAAGACTGCATTCCCCCTCACAGTTATTTTTTAAGAACTTGTAACACCACCTGTATTTGGTTCCTTGGATGCTATTGTAATAGCAAACATCAAGAGTTAAAAAAAAAAGTCTTACTTTGTCTCCTGCATTTGGATTCTTATCAGGATGGTATTCCTTGGCCAGCTTTCTGTATGCCTAGTTGAAAGAAGTAAAAAGTTAAATACTGATTAATCAGTACTTTTCTGACAGCTCAGTGGTGTCTTTGGGAATAAAGAAAATCCTATTAAAGCAAAGTGAGAAAATAAGTGTTTTGAAATCATTCATACATTGAAATGCTGACATCCATAAAAAATTCTGACATCCTTGTATGCATAAATTAGCTGCACCTGCATTTAAACACAACTACAGCACACAATAGCTAGAAGTAGTTTTTCTGCTTATCTTCGTTAACTTACAGGAAGAATCACATTGGACTTGCACGAAAATTACTTACTCTACAGAAGCTACTCAAAACCTACAACACAATTTAAGTTTCAACCCATTTGTCTCTCACCTCAATCACAGCAACACATTAACAACAAAATGGCTGCCTCAGCTCCTCATTGAACCCAATGAGCCAATCCTCACAACATGCATTTTATTCTTCCTTACCTATCAATAACAGAAGAATTATTCTCACTTTGAACTAAGTATATGAGTTACATGTGCAGAAGCATACAGATCATTGCTTTTATTTAACTTCATTGTTGTAAAGCAGTAGGAGGAATTACAGCTCAGTCTCCTGAAGGCATTTTTCAGAATGCTTTTTTCTGACCAGTTCTTTGACTCTCAGGACCATCACTTTCTCCACAGCAGTACTTCATCCATTTTGCTTACACTTTAGAAAATCAAAGCAAAAAACGTGACAGGCAGAGGCTTTTCCTACACTTTGATTTTATGACAGTAAAGACCTCAGCTCTTCCCCCACTCCACCTCAACACCCCTCAATAACAATCAGAGGACAGATATTAATAAATTGCGCAGTAAATAGTCTGGGTTTTAAATTACACATACAAAGAAAGCTACATTAATGAAACTGCAAACAACTGAAACCCTGGTTCTTAGGGTGGATTGCAGAATGGATTTTACAAAAGCTCTATTTCTGTAGAACTGAGCATCTAAACTATCTCTTTAGAACTGCAACATTGAGAGAGCTTTAGACACAAAACTTTAGAGAGATCATAACTTTCCATTCTGTACTGGGACAAGTAAGATTCCTTTTTTGCATCTGCATGGTTACTTCTCTTCATTAATCGTCTTGAAATACTCTGTACTTCTGCATGCAATCAAGAAATAAAGTTTGATAAGGAACTCATAAAACCCCAGGACACTGCAATTACAAGCAAAGTATTCTAAATCATGGTAAGCGCAAAGAACAAACATCATAGGTCTTACAGGACAAATTACCCATCTCTAACAAAGCATCATCTTCCACAAATGTACATACTCTCAAATAAAAATGTATTTTCCCCACATATTTTAAGGACTCTGCATAAGAAAAAAACAAACAACCTGCACCAAACCCTAAAAGTCAAAGTGAAAACCTACATGACATTATCTAATCAGTTAAAAAGGAGCTTGCATGCTGATCTTTAAGAAGAGCGGGCACTAGTGCCTTTGCTGATAAGAGCATTCCAGTTCAGAAAAATTCTTAAGACTACCATGGCCCAAAAGGAAGCTACCACTATTTAATCAGAAACAGTCTACAATGGCATAATGTTACAACTTCAATAAAAGTTAAAACTCACTAACTTGTTTCAGCCCCTTTTGACTGACCTATCACCTACTTGTTTTCACTTTTGTGTACTGTTATATAGATTAAAGTAAGAATAGACGAACTTCTTGCTGTTACAGGCAGCTGGAAACCTTACATTCCTTGGTGTGGCTAATCTATAGCAAATTAATACTGAGCAGTGTAAGCTATCTAAGTGGAAAACCACTGTCAGTTTTTCACTCTTATAGGATACAGATACCTTTAAGATAATTTAGTAAGGGGAAAAAAAAAAGTTCTATTTGAGTGTGTTTGTTATACAGCACCATCCTCTCACTGCATGCCTTCCATCTACAACACTATTTCAACACTGCCATTGCCCGTGCCTGGACAAATTAGGCTGCCACACGCATGATGGGTAACGCACAGTTGTTAATACCAGCACCACCCATCAGCGGAAGCAGGTCACTGCTAGTAAATTGTCTAGTTAATTCTCCTCCCTCACGTGTAAATGGCTATCGAGTCTTTCCAGAAGAAAGTTGTTTCTACACTACAAAAGGGAAGGGACACAGTGAATTGCTATTCTGATGACCCGGCTCCAAGTTTTCACCTCGCTCCTTTGTTTACCTTACCGAGGCGCTTTCACCTGGGAGGGATCAAACACACAAGCAAAATGAAACCCAACCGAGGCCTACACATGGGTCAGACAATGGCTCCACTCCTCACGAGGATTTATACACGCCCAGCCTTCCACGGCTTGGGAAGGGACGCAGCACTGCGGGGATGAAGGAGCGGAGCCCGGCGGTGCCGGGCCAGGGACACGGG